TAAAACACAAGTGGGTGGCTCTGTGGAAAGACAAAAATTGAATAGCTAATAGTTTTTTGCTTTTATTTGCGTCCACTTCCCGGTCGCTCACGTGCTTGCAGAATAACTCATAGCAAAAACACTTCTCCTAGTTTGTGCAAGCTTGTGGTTGTAATTGTGCGAGCTTGTGGTTGTAATTGTGCAGGTTTGTGGTTGTAATTCATCGAGAATTAATTCTATAAAATACTCAATCATATCCGATGCTATCGTTGTCAGTCAATAAAAATTTCCGATTTGGTGGAATGCGTGACAAGAGAGTTACACAGTCTCCCTGCAAATTTGAGCTCAGACAGTTCAATGTGGCATACACGACCATTTTTCCAAGGTTTCAAAATGGCTGACGTTGTTGAATGAACGATTTGCCCAATTTGGACGATTTGTAAAGATCCTGAAGATGTTTTTTGAGGCTGACAACAATCCGAAAGGTATTTCAAGTAAATAAAAAAAAAATTTGTGGTTAGTTCGAGATTAGAAGCGAAAATTTGAGGTAAGCAAACTTCCAACCTGCAACTGGTTTTTCTTGGCCAAATTTTATTCATTTAACTTTTATAAAAACAGTACTAGCTACCATGAATGCAATCTTCCAAATGAGATATAGCTTTTTCTTCTGTAAATGTTTGTTGAGATATTAAATAAACAAATTATAGGACTTTTTCCTGCCATTTGTTTGAGACGTGAATGAATTTAAGAGCTGACTCTAAAATATATGTCATCCCCCACTCCACAAAAAAACATAAGTATATAAACACTTCTTTCAATATTTTCCATTTAATGTTTACAAAATTACTTGTCTTACATGCTTTCTCTCCTATCTGACTTGAACAGTTCTTAAGATAAACTACTGAACTTAAGGTTCCTGAATATCCCTTAAGGTAGCAAACTTGCCGGCACGACACTTGGCATTTATTTTACTTTTAATAGCTCTCCAGAGCTTATCTTTCTGTAATGGTGAGCTATTTGGAAATTTGGTGAGCAGCAAAATCTTAAGATTATTTAGTCTGGTTGCATCTAGGGACCCCTTTCCATAACTGCCATCCGTATTGCAACTTGCTAATTCTTCCTTACTAAAGAAGAAGGGGAGCAACTTCAAGGCACACTTGTGGATCTCTTCGGCCTTGTCCAGTGTCTGCTTGAGGGCTTGCACTTTCCTTGGTGTGACGCATGTCTGGATCAGCCCTTCTCTGACTATGAGCTCTGTTTCAGTCAGGGCACAGGGAGGGGGCGTTTGCGGCTCACTGGATACACTCTTCTGGGGGGGCTGATCAGGGGTCCTGGCTGTCTCGTCACAAACCTGCCTAAAGGCTTCAACATCAATGGTTGGCAATGCATCAGCATCCAGGCACGATGTGTCCACGACATCTGGGGCATCATAGTTGATAGTGCTGCTAAACTGCAAAAAAATTAGCACCCATAAGAGACATACGACAAGACCTCCATTGTACACAGATATGATGCGGGATTGTTGGAATAGAGATTTATTTGCTAGCAATAATCAATAAGAAACTGATATTCTGGAGATCAATGTTGCAATGGCACCACAAGAACTGTGTACACATTTCAGGTGAGTAGGACAACCAGAATGGAAGGTATATGGGTGTAGTGTCTTAAACAGTCAAGATTTATGTAGGATAACAGAGCCATTAAGAAAAAAGTTACCATATTGCTAGGGGTGATGACTGTCCGTGCTTCCAAAGATTGCAACCGAGAGTCCAATCTTCCAAAGGCAGAGTCCATCTTATTTTCAATTGCCTCCAGGCAGTCTTGCATCCTTCCCACCATCTGTAAACATGGGGAATATTATCAGTATTGATACAAGTTTGATAAATCACTTCTTTGCTAACTGGAACCTCGTGCTAACTCGACTAAAATCAATTTCAAGGTTACATAATTAAAGATAAAAAGCGGTTTGTGAAGAGGCTAAGTTGAAGCGAATTTGCATAAAAGAGTGCCAAGCTAATTACATGAATACTTAAGCATGAAGAGAGTCACTACACATTCAGTGCTGGTTTAACATCTTGAATACACAGCATTTGATTAACAAGGCAGTCAAATAACAATAATAATAATGATGATGATCATGGTAATAGTAATGGTAATAGTAATAATAATAGTAACAATATGCTTATACTGATAACTAATGCAAACTACGTTAATTAGACTATACAAAAGGTATCCGTTCAGTTCGCCATATGATCATTTCACTTGGTAACATTAAATATCACTCCGTCTGATTACTCTCCTAGTGGCGAGGTGACCGGTAACCAGATCTTGGAGTAGTTTAAAGTGCGATTGAGTCTAAATACCTTTGTTTGATTCCGTGCATTGTTTAGCATGAACTCTGTAGCAGTAGCCTGACAATGTTTCCCGTTACGTTTATCATTCTGATTTCTACAGTGATTGTTCCACTTTCACTCGACTTATTCGGCTAATTACGTATCAATTTTTGATTCCTGTTCACTGTTGTCGCGTGAAACTGCAGCAAAATGTTAAACACTAACCTTGATAATATCCTCATTAGCTCGTGCCTGCTTCCTTAAAGCCTCTGCCTCGGCCACTCTCGTCTTTTGTGATATTTCCAGTTGCCTTTTTAAGTTGGAACATTCTTGGCTTTTGGCCTCCAGCTGTTTCTTTAATTGGTCGGTCTGGTCTGACTGGTCCGCAGCATTTTTGATCTCAGTACAAATAACTTTGCTGGGCCTCGTCTCGCTCGGTATTCCTACAGTTTGGTGGACAGCCGGTTCCT